GCCAGTGACCCAGAAATGCCAACTGGCACTGACAGAAAAGCCCCAATGAAAACCTGCTCTCTCTACCTAAATCTAGAAAAGGACAAGGAGCAAGATAAAACTTTTATTTGATAACTAGTCTACTCTAGCCAAACTCTAGCAAAGGCTGAGTGAGGAGCCTAGTCATCCATCCTTGAGAGGCTGAAACTAACAGAGAAGGAAGTAGTGCAGGGTAGGGAGCTAGGACATTCATTCCCACCAGGCAATAACAACACGGCAGAGATAACAAGAGCAACCAGACAGTTCAAGAATTGGCCACAATGAATACTGTTAGAAACAGTAAAAGTGAGGTTAAAAGTAAGATGACTGTCTGAAAAATTTATGTAAGAAATTAAATCCCAGATCCTTCTTCAAAGCTACATAGCTGGATACTGCTTCTCCCCCATCCCAAAAGAAGAAAAGGGGTTTATTCCCTAGAAAGGGTAAAAAATGGTCTCTGTTGTTGTTATGTTCTGTCGAGTCAGCCCCGACTCATAGCGACCCCTCCTTGGGTTTCCGAGGCAGTATCACTACGGAAGTAGGATTGCCCAACCTTCCTTCCGAGGAGTTGCTGGTGGGTTTGAACCGCCAGCCTTCTGGTTAGCAGTCAAGTGCTTTAGCCACTATGCTACCAGAGCTCCTAAGGGTAAAAAATGGTCTCTAGACTGGGGTTATTAGATGTTATTAAAGGTAGGAGTATTGAAAGCAGGACGATTAAGTGAAAATTTACATCCTAAATGTTGAATACTCCAACTCAGCTCTTAGAACAAAGGCAGCCAGAAGACTAGAAGAATATTCTCGGCAATCTGATCCTTCCCAAAGAAAAACAAACAAATAAATAAACTCACTGCCCTGAGTCAGATCCAACTCTTAGCTCTTAGGACCCCTCCTTAGGTTTCCAGTGGTGTCACTACAGAAGTAGATTGCCCAACCTTCCTTCTGGGGAGTGGCTGATGGGTTTGAACCTCCAGCCTTCTGGTTAGCAGTCAAATGCCTTAGTCACTATGCCACCAGAGCTCCCTTCCCAAAGGAAAGATATAAAAATATTGAAAATTGGGCAAGGGGTGGAGGTGGGGGTGGGAGTGGTTCCACCATGAAATAGTTCTGTCAGATCACCTTACAGTGAAGCCCAAAGGCAGCACACCCACCCATGCATTCAGAGGTACCAACCAGCTTTTCACTGCCTCACTCTTGAGAGTGGACAGCCAAGATCATCAGACATTTGACAAATACTTCTAATGTGAAAGACAGAATTAAAACAAACAACCATAATAATGAAATAAAATTTGGAACGAAGTGACCACGCAGGAGGAAAAAACCTTTAAAACACAATATAACAAAACAAAAACTGTTACTCTAACAAAACAGGATATAATTTTCAGAAACAAGAAAAGAGCTCTTTCTTAGAAAACAAAAGTACGAATAAATTAAAAAATTCAACAGGAATGGAATATAAATCTGAAGAAATAAGACTGTAGAATAAAAAGACAAAGAACTGAAAACAAGAGAGCCAAAACAAGAAAATTAGAATTAAAGAACCAACATCCAGGTAACAGGAGTTTCAGACAGAGGGAAGAAGAGAAAAGGAAATCATTTAAATGAGACAAACTAAAATTCCTACCAACTACTAACAATAAATTATAAATGCACACACCAAGGTATATGACCACATAATTTTAGAACTCTGGGAAGAAAGAAAATTTATAAATTTCTGGGGGAGAAAAAAATGGGTCACATCCAAAGGATCAAGTATCAGGATGACACTGATCATAGTGACACTGAGTGCTATAATACAATAAAGCAATACTTTCAAAAATTTGAATGAAATTATTTCCACTCCAGAATTTTATACACAGACTATCACAAATGTGAAGGTAAAATAAAGACATTTTCAAAATTGAAAGGTTTCAGAAAACTGACTTCCCATGTATCAGGTAGCTACTAGAGAATCAGCTCCACCAAAAGGAGAGAATAAAGCAAAGAGGGTTCAGGAGACCTAACAAAAAAGAGAAGCACAGGAGATTCCAAGACTGCGAATTAAGGCTAGAAAGAAACCAGTCCAGATTGCACAGTCAGAAGACTGAAAAGATTTCTTCAAGAAGAAAAAAATGAATAGAGTACCAAATAAGTTTCAAAGCATTAAAAACTATTTACACAACTTATGAAAGGTTTAGGGATAAAACTGGTGAAAATATACAGAAAACTAAGATCAAAAAACAAAACAAGATAATTATTCCAATGAAAACAGAATTGTAGGGGAAGGCAATAATAGTCATGGTCCACTAGGAGATTCATCAGGAAGAGAGTTTATTTAAACGATTCTGTAAAGCCTGAATACCAGAATACACAGCATTTTGCCAAAGCTTACTGGTATTTTGGAAGAATAGGGCATAAGAATAATCCAAGGATATTGGGGAGGGGGGGGGGGAAGCACAGGATATGAAAGAGAGCTAACTTCTAATTTCCATAGTTGATAATGCCTAAAATGGGAGAAAATCAAGGAACTAACAATATCAGCAAATTATTTAGAAATATATCAAAGCCTCTGGGACCTTGAAATGCCATAGTAGGACCCCTCAGGGAATTGCTTCATATGTTTTATAACAAGATTAGTTCACCTATTTGAGCACTGAAGCTCTGATAAAAAACATAAACTAATTAGAAACAGATAAACAAGTCTGACATCCAATAACATGGCTGGGTCAGAACTTGAACTCATGTAACTTAATTCCCATTCAAGTCTATTAATTTGTGAGCTCCTAGGAGGCCTATCAGTCTGCTTCCATAAAGATTTACAACACTGGAAACCCTATGGAGCAGTTAGCTCTAGCCTGTACTAAAGGGTTGCTATGAGTCAGAATGGACTCAATGGCAGTAAATTTAGGGTGGCCTAAACCCACTGCCATCGAGTCAATTCCAACTCACAGCAACACCCACTGGATTTGTGAGGCAGTAAATCTTTACACAGGTAGATTTGCCCAGTCTTCCTTCTGAAGAGTGGCTGGTGGGTTTAAACCACCAACCTTCTGGTTAGCAGTCAAATGCCTTAGGCACTGCACCACCAGAGCTCCTTTTAGGGTGGCCTATGTGTTCCTAATTCCTCTACTATCATACCCACCTAGCATAAAGCAAGCCCTCAAAATGTTTCTAAATGAGTGGAAGAGAGTTAAAGAATAGGATTAGTTTTGTAACATCAGAAAACGAACAAGAAGGGACATTCCAGGCAAGAGGAATCAGCAGAAACAAAGGCCAGAAACTGAGTCTATGAGAGCTAAGCAGGGATGGAGCAAGGAGTAAGGAGAAGGAATAATAAGAAGCATCTAGAACTCTCTGAGATGGGTGGAGAGATATACTGCTGGAATGATGGCTTGGGGTTGGGGGGCAGGGAAGTGAGAGCACATCACCTTGCATATAGACCCAAGTGATCTTGATTATATGTATATAAATCTTGGGTATTTTTTGGTTTATTTTGCAAATAGTGATAGCAATACTTACCTCTCTCAAAGCTCCTTCTGAGTTGTTTCAGCTTTCTGGAATCCAAAGTACTACCAGGCTCTAGTGAGTTCTTCTTTCAGTAGCCCCATGGCAGTACAACTAGTTACTCTAAGTAGTCACTGTAAAGGCAATCCCAGCCTCGTAGAGTCCCTACAAGGCTGTCCTACCCATTTGCTGGATTTGTTTCTGCTCTTTACAAAAAGTAATAAAATCCAGGGCACAAAGGTATCGTCATCTCTAGATGAACATATGTATCTGCTATTACCATTATTCATACATTCATTTCATCCCAAGGTCATTAAGCATTTACTCGATGATAAGCAGTGTGATAGAATATAAAAGCTTCTGATTTTACGTAATTTATTTTATGTAATTTACTTTCTGCAGTACTTCTTTTAATAGTATACGCAAAATAACCAGTATAAACAAAGTCATGTGGAAACACGAATGACATACTATATATCAAAATTTTTATATCATGTGCATGTCTAAAATGGATGTAAAAGTAAAAGACTACTTTAATACACTCTCATATACCCATCACTCTGCTTAATCACCAATCAGCTCATGGCCAGTCTTGTTTCTCCTCTAAACCTACTCAATTTTTTCAAGATATCAAATTATTTTATTCATAAATATTTCAGCATGTATCTCTAACAAATAGGGGTTCTTTCTTTAAACATAACTACAATATGAATCTTAATGTGAATCTTGAAGAATGAGTTTTTTAAAAATTAAGATTAGTTAACATGTAATAAAATAAACACACAGAGCTTAAGGTGTTCAGTACATTGAGTTCTGACAACTGCATATCCCCAAGAAATCACTACCCAAAACAAGAGACAGAACATTTCCATCACCCAGAAAGTTCCTACATTCCTTTTTCTAGTTAATTTCCCATACCTGGATATCTACTTTATGATTTCTATCACCATAGGTCACTTTTGCCTGTTCTTGGACTTCCTTAAAATAGAATCAGAGTATGCATAAGAGGTTTCTAGGACAAAGAATTCCAGATGGGAAGAATTATACGTACACAACATAAAGCTGTAGAAGGGTATCTTCATGGAATACTGAATTATTCAGTAGGGCTGAAAACTGGGACTGATAACTGACAGAGACAAGACTAGAAGAGAAAGGTCATTGTAAATGGGCTTGTGTAACAAGCTAGGGTTTTAGGAGTAAATTTCACAGAATATTATTAGAAACCAAATAATAAACAAACTTTTCCTAATGTCCCAAACTACTTTCCTGACCTAAAAAGCCAAGGCAGGAACAGCATCCTGTACCCACTGCTACTCTCTCCTAACCTACCCAGAGACCTGTCTGCCATCTCTGGGAAGGGGACAAGCCCCACTGGATAGGATAAGGCCCAACAAAATAAGTTTTAGGTTCACTTGGCTTTCTCACGAGACAACACAGTCCAGGTCACCCCATGCTCTCCCTGATTTCAAACAAGCAGTCTCAAGTCTGAGCAGCAGCCTTACCATTATCTGGATTTCTCTCTTGCACACCTGGAGATCATGCTCATTGTTGACGAACATACGTTTCAAGGCACACTTCATTCCATTGCTTGTCCTCACCAGAAACACAATAGCAAATCCACCTGTGAGAGAAACACAAACACAAGATCTTTGGAGTCATGTTCAAAAATGAGTGGGATATCTGTGGTGGCTAAGAGTTGCTGTTGTCACTAGTCCAGCATTCTTTCCTTCATACCAAAGCAGCTAGGAAATTATTTCAGTAATTCTTATAATAATAGTTGTTATCGAATTTCAAAATCTAACAGTAGATCTTAAGGATGTCTCCTGCCCTCTCTACCCTCATGGGGGTAGTGGTGGTTCAGTGGTAGCATGCAGGAGTCCTGGGTTCTATTCCTGTTATTCCACCCACCTATCAGCGGAGGCTTGTGTGTCGCTATGATGCTGAACAGGTTTTAGCAGAACTTCAGACTAAGATAGATGTACTAGAAATAAAGGCCTGGGGAATTACCTCTGAAAATCAGCCAATGAAAGCCCTATGGCTCACAAGGGTCTGATCTGCTACCAGACATTGTGCAGGACCAGGCAGCATCTGGTTCCCTTGTGCATGGGATCACCATGAATAAAGGGCCAACTCGACACCAGCTAACAACTCTACGTCACTGGCTGCTGAGAAGATTCAAGATGTAGTTATGAAAGTACTACTGTATACATAGAAACTAGACATGTATGACTCAGGCAGACTTTTAGTGTCAGCACCAACTTTTCTCTAAAAGATGGTTCCAAATTCATTAACAGAAATTTGTATAATTTTAACAAGAATTCCCAAATGCTCTGAATTTGTTACACTTTAGTGTTCCATGAATTTTTAGAACTCTCAACCTCAGTCTCTCTTTCAAAACATTACATCAGGTGCTCAGTGTCGTTGTTAAGAGGGGTCAGATAGTAAAGAAGGGTGGCAAAGTGTGTGAAAGGTGAAGACTGGGATAAGCACTGATTACACCTGCCTGACTTGTACATACATAATTTAGCTTAACTCTCTTGTCCACTGATGCTGTGCAGCAATAAAACCGCTAGGCCATTCTTTCCATAGAAGTGGCCACTAACTAGATGCAAGTGAACACAGAGTTTCAGAAGTCATCAATACAAGAACTTGAGTTGAGGTTATGAAAGCAATAAGCAGCAACTATAGTCTCTATAGTCTCAGACCTCTGAAGATAACTCTTGTGAGTCCGGAGTAAAAACCAAACCCTCTGCCATCGAGTCAATTTTGACTCATAGAGACCCCCACTGGGTTTCTGAGGCAGTAAATCTTTATAGAAATAGATTGTCCCATCTTCGTTCTGCAGAGTGGCTGGTGGGTTAGAACCATCAACCTTCTGGGCAACAGTCAAATGCCTTAGCCACTGCACCACCAGAGCTCCTCTGAGTCCTGACTATGCAGTTCTAATTCCCCTGTGGCCCAGGGGTACTTCAGGGTCTATCTGTTGGTGTTCTTGGCATTTCCTATTATATCTTTACAATAATTACTCTTTTCCAACATAGCTTGAGTAGTCTTCAGTCCTTTGCAACTACAAAAAAAGCCTTAATCATTGTTGCATGTTTTTATGAAACACCAAACATAATCCTAAAATAATTGTATGTATCTTAATGAGCTCTAATATTCCAAATGTACATTTTGATAGGGATTTACTAGAGACTGCATGTGTGTGTATTTCCTTTAACTATGTTCTACGGGACTCAAATGAACACTAAAATTTACCATATAATATATACATGTATATATATATATACACATATATATATGTGTATATGTTTGTGTGTATATATACACACACACACACATTTAACTTTCTATTGTGATTTGAGTGAAGGTTCACAGAGCAAATCAATTTTCCACTGAATAATTCAAAAACATTTTTGTTTCATGTAATCGATTGCAATCCCCTCAATGTAACATCACTCATCTCACTTCCACCCTGCATTTCCAGTTTCCATTCCTCCTTTCCTAGCCCTTCTTGCCTTCTGAACTTTGTCCTTGGGCAAATGCTGCCCTTTTGACCTTAAATGGTTGATCATTCAAAGGAATGCATATCACCCCAGTGTTATTGTTGACTTTGTAGATCTGTCTACTGTTTGGCTAAAAACTGAGCCACAGTTTCAGGCTTGAAGGGTGACTAAGGGTCATAGTCTCAGAGGTTCCACCAGTTTCTTTATGACCAGGAAGTCTGGTCTTTTTTTTTTTTTTTTTTATGATTTTGAGTTTTGTTCTACTTTTTTGTCCCATTCTTTCCAGGACCTTCTAATGTGATCCCTTCCACAGAAGGTGGTAGTGGCAGCTAGGCACCATCTAGTTCTTGTCTCAGGGATGTGGAGGCTGAAGTTTACTTGGTCCATTAGTTCTTTGGACCAATTATTTCCTTGCATCTTTGATTTTCTTCATTCTTCTTTGCTCTGGACAGGGAAAGTTGCTCACAAGCTTTTTTCAAGACCCCAGTTGCTATGCTATAGACAGAGAACTTCCAGAAATGCAAGCTGGATTCAGAAAGGGATATGGTACAAGGGGTATCATAGCTAATGTCAGATGGATTTTGGCTCAAAGCAAAGAATAGCACAAAGATATTTACTTGTGTTTTATTGACTATGCAAAGGCATTCAATTGTGTGGATCATAAAAAATTATGGATAACATTGAGAAGAATGGGAATTCCAGAACACTTAATTGTACTCAAGAGGAACCTGTATATAGACCAGAGGCTGTTGTTCAAACAGAAAAAGGCGATACTGCATGGTTTAAAATCAGGAAGGGAGTGTGTCAGGGTTGTATCCTTTCACCATACTTGTTCAATCTGTATGCTGAGTAAATATAACTCATATATAGCTGGACTATATGAAGAAGAACATGGCAGCAGAATTGGAGGAAAGCTCCCTAACAACCTAAGGCACGCAGATGACACAACTTTACTTGCTGAAAGTGAGGAGGACTTGGAGCACTTACTGATGAAAATTAAAGACTACGGTCTGCAAGTATGGATTACACCTCAATATAAAGAAAAAAAAATCCTCACCACTGGACCAATAAGCAGCATCACAATAGATGGAGAAAAGACTGAATTTATTAAAGGCTTCAAATTGCTTGATTCTACAATCAACACCAACGGAAGCAGTAGTCAAGACATCAAAAGACATATTCCATTGGGCAAATCTGTTGCAAAAGACCTCTTTCAAGCGTTGAAGAGCAAAGATGTCTCCTTGAAGACTAAGATGTGCCTGACACAAGCCATGGTATTTTCAATCACCTCACATGAATGTGAGAGCTGGACAATGAACAAGGAAGACTGAAGAAGAAGTGATGCTTTTGAATTGCGGTGTTGGTGAAGAATGCTGGAAGTACCATGGACTGCTGAAAGAACTAACAAGTCTGCCTGGAAGAAGTGCAGCCAGAATGCTCCTTGGAAGCGAGAATGGCCAGACTCACCTACTTTGGTCATGTTGTCAGAAGAGACCATTCTCTGGAGAAAGATGTCATGCTTGATAAAGTGGAGGGTCAGCGAAAGAGGGGAAGGCCCTCAGCAAGATGGACTGACACAGTGGCTGTAGCGATGGGCTTGGGTATAGTAGGGATTGTGAGGTTGCCACAGGACTGGGCAGTGTTTCACTCTGCTGTACAAAGGGTTGCCGTGAGTTGGAGCCAATTCGATGGCTTCCTAACAACAACAACACAGAGTGTTAAAGGAGCCTGGTAGTGCACTGGTTAGGCACTCAACTGTGTACCAAAAGGTTGGCAGTTCAAACTTACCAGCCACTCTGTGAAAGAAAGATGAAGTAGTCCTCTTCCATAAAGATTACAGTGTTGGAAACCCATTAAGGTAGTTCTACTCTATCCTATGGGGTCATTATGAGTCAGCATTGACTCAATGGAAATGGGTAAGAGCATTAAGCACAAGCTGAATGAGGCCTGGAGGAGCCCCATGGCTAGTTATGGGCAGAACCTGGAACAGGACCCTACCTGACTGTCCAAAACCCTTTTCTATTTCATTTGTCATAGAGAAAAACTGTGTAATAGTCCTTTAGGTAAGGAGACATCTAACAGTGCTGCAGAACAAAAGTTGTGAATGGCTACTTCCTACAGTTTTATGATATCTGGTGCCACTAAATTTGGTTGGATAAGTAAGGCATGCCTTTCAGAAGCAGGTTATGGCACAACAATTTGAGATAATGACCACCAGATGGGAGCAGTGTAGTTTGCTTTGCCAGGCAGTAAGATGACCTTTCCGGCCAAGACTGAAGAAATGGTCAAATACCAACCACAGGATCCAGCAAGTATAATGGATTATGAAGAGCCAGGTGAGATCTGAAAGCCTATGGATATCACAAATCTAAAGGTAAATCTATGAACAACCATGCCTAACATAAGAAGGAACAACATTATTCAGCATCTGTGCCTACAACAAAAACAACCAAACCCACTGCCATGGAGATTAGGACAGAGTAAAACTGTCTCATAAGGTTTCCAAGGCTATAATCTTTCCAGAAGCAGAATGCCACAACTTTCTCCTGTGGAGTGGCTGGTAGATTCAAACCACTGACCTTTCAGTTGGCAGCTGAGCGCTTTCACCACTGTGGCACCAGAGCTCCTTATCTATGCCCATACAATGGCTTATTTGTAGGTGAGAAACATTTAAATAAGGACCCCTTGATCATGACATCAAAATCTAAGCTTGAAAGGATGTGAGTCTAAAGACATCTCCAACTATCACTGCACAGTTGACCAAATGGAGACATAAATTACCAGGAGAGATAGCACCTTCTCCAGCACATACCCACTTTCAGCATGCCAACCAAGGGAACAGGCAGAGATTCTCAAGCACAACTAAACAAGATTCCGGCTATGATAGAATAAGGCAGCTACATCACTGTCAACAGAGATGCTTATATCACATTGAGTTGCATCCTAAGATCTTGATTAAATGGAAAAACTTTTTAAAGCCTAGCTAAAGATGGTTTGGACAGAGTCAAAAAAACAAAAAACCCTAATGTTCACCACAGACCCTGTGCCAGTCTCTGACCACTGGCATTTTTGGAAACACCAAGATAACTTCCTTCATGAACTTACTGACTCACAT